GTAAATAAGTGTTTTATTATATATCAATAGTCAAAGAAACGACAAATTAAAGAACAAATGAACGTAAATACATGAAATATTTTATTGTTAAAACGTTATATTAAACAACTTCATATGAATAATACCCATATATAGAAGAGTCATATGTAACTACCCCCAACTCTTGTTTAACATTATCTTCTGGCTACACTGCAGTTACTTAAAGCGAAAGTTTTAATTCGCATCTTCACGTGATGGCGCACGTGATTTTTTTTGTTATTCGCCGGTCGATAACGTATTGTTTCCCTCTCGCGCTGTTGCGAGGGAGACAGCCTAATTTCGTCACGCTCACGTGATATGCTCTCAACCAATAGAACACTAGAAAAATGCGACTTTGACTATTGATATATAATAAATTAATTTATTAATCGACCTTCGATGTTTCGACATCGACGGTCTCGGGTCCACAAAACACACTGTTTCCCTCGGTCTCAGTAAATAAGTGATAAATACTGCTTCTTATATCTCTTCAGCCCAACCCCAGGTTCAACTGGATTTTTTTAATTGTGGTAAATTTAAAATAAACGTTACATTTTGTCAATGTAAATGTTACATGATATTTTGGTACATGTTGTACAACTTCTTGTTCCTTGATCGACTGCAAGATCACCCAATCATTTTCTGATTGGTACCACGCCCAGGCATAATTAGTGAGTGGTCGTTATCATGTGTTTCAGAATAGTGATAAATGTGTTAATATATATATAGGCTGGTGTCACGTTGGAGGTCTGTATTGCTAACTGGTGGGCTAACAGCGAGGAATCATCGATCAATGCCTCATTGTCTTTCCATGGAGTGGAACCAAGTTTGAAAGTAGTTACAATGGTGAGTTGCCAGTAGTAGTTTTGTATTATTAAACAATTTTGACCAATTTTGAACTTGTCAACCCCTGTATTTTGCAAGACCTGTTCTATCAATTCGAAAACGGTTTAAATCGGTAATATATTACAGACTATTACAGGTAACAGTCAAGTATTTATTTTAAAAATATTTCAATTTTTATTTTTAGCATAGTTCACAAGAAATCCAACGTTTAGATGTACGCTGTGCTATGGCATCGCAAGAAATTTCTCCCACTGTTAATCTGAATTCCTACTGTCAACCTTTAAGGTAGGTTTAGAAATTTTTTTTTCACTGGTCGTCTAAATTACCTCACTAATTGGCTGCGAATTTTTTAATCTAACCAGACATAGTACTATACTGCGGTTCTCTGGAGCATGCGCAAAACAGGTGCACCACAAGCGCGAAGACGCACTCTTTCAAAAATCCTTTCACAATCTCAAAAATTCCTTTTTCCCTACAAAATTTCCCTGCCACCCAAACGGTGGAAAAAATCAAGAAAATTCAGGGGAATTCGAGGGAGAAATCGAGTATGGTCTATGACATAGGCTAGGCCATAAGGTCAGAGTTCCCTCCATGAAAATATCAGCTCCACATATATATGTTTATGTTCATCCAGGGACGTAGGGTGCTTGATAATGGTGGAGGGGTCGAATGGCACAAGGCGCTGAACAACAAATTGTGAAATTTATAGTCTCTAATCGCAGGAAATAGTGTTTTGAGATTCTTCTGTACCTCTTTTGTTAGGCCTATACTATTTATAAGTTCATTTTTACTGGTTTAAGTAGTTTTAGTATAGGTAATAGCATGGTTTCTAGTGCAATTTGGATATAACATGCACGAGTCCGAAGGACGAGTGCTATTTGAGGTCTTTCAAAAACTCACGAGTGCATGTTTATCCAAATTTCACGAGAAACCATGCTATTACTTATTAATAATTTACATGAAAATGTTCGAGACAATTGTAGTTTTTTTAACTTACGCGTTTATAGCGAACATTCCACCGGCAAACTTTTCCTGGCTTTGTTATATCACATTATACAACGCTAACAGCTTGAAAATTCCACTCAACTATGTAATTGTTGTTAGTCTTGTTTAAGGTAAATGCTTTTCCATTTAAAAATAAAGATAAAAGCCATATTTTCCACGCGAAGGCAACTTTTACTTTGTGTAGCGCGGCGCCATGTTTGTTTTGTTTTGAAGCAATCTGTGACCGTTACTTCTTTAAACTAAATTGCTTTAAACTGATTGGTTGATGTAATCATCACAACGTTTTTCCGCCAATCAGATCAGTTTGTTACAGATTTTTGCACTGTGATTACAGAAAATTGCACTGTGATTACAAAAAATTGCACTGTGATTACAGAAAATTGCACTGTGATTACAGAAAATTGCACTGTGATTACAGAAAATTGCACTGCTGTTTGGGATTAACTGCACTGAAATCAACCAATCACAGTCGAGTAATATCTTTATGTATATTATTAGACTTGTAACTGGTATAAGTTACAGAAATCCTTGCAATTTCCTTTAATTTTTGTATTTTTCTTGCCGTTTCCTAGACTTGGTTCAAGTCCGTCTCTCAAGGGGTTGAAAATAGCGATGCACGCGAGCGGTCAAAAAAGGCACGAAAATATGAGAGAAAAGTAGGGAGAGACGGACTTGGATACCCTGCAAGCGCGCCAAATTTTACCGTCGGATTTTTCCTACGGAGGCGTGGCTTGCGAGTTGACAACAACAACAAATTTTCGCGCCAATTTTTGCAAGTAACATTCGAAATGCTGCGAATGTCCCAAGTCCGTCTCTCCCTAATTTTCTCCTGAGACGGACTTGAACCAAGTCTAGCCATTTCCTTGTAAAACTCATTTCCTTGCATATTTCCCTTGCAAGGACTAATATTTCCTTGCTGCAGGGAAAAATCCTTGCAAGTGGAAGCACTGCAGCGAATATAAAGCGATGCCAAACTTCGTTTAGGTATCGCAATTATAACAAACTCTGGAGCATTTGACTGGTTGTTATATATCATAGTGAGCTTTCACGTGATTTGAACATGGACACATGGTTAACATTTGATAAAGAGGATCGATCTAATACAGTGTCGATATATATCTCTGCAATCATTTGAGACATATTTGCATTGCGCACATAAAATGCTACAGTAAAACTGATCCAGACTAACGGGCCGATTACATGGAGCCCAACCCAGGGCTGAGTTTCAACCCAGGGCTGAGTTCAACCCCCCGGGGTTGAAATTTCAACCCTGCTTCAGCTAAATCGTCCATGTAATCGCAAAAAATTTCAACCCGGTTAACAGGGATGAGTTCAACCCCGGGGTTGAAAGTTCTCCATGTAATCGGCCCCTAATTCATATCAGCGACTGTGAAATGATTACAACAACCGCACGACCAAATATAAAGCCGGTTTTATAATATTCACCACAAA